ACTCACCCACCGCACTATTATTTGGTTCCCTGCTCACCTTGGCTTGAAGGTCGGGGGTTTCCCCAATGCCAACAAGCTAGCCTACTCCAAGACGCGAGGCTTTACTTACTGCGCCGGGACTAGTGCTTTTCAGACAAAGGAATCAGCCACAACCTTCATTTTAGGAAAATTTTGACTACCTTCAACGAGATCACGAAGCACTATCAATTAGGCCGTAGGTCCTTTCCATTGCCACACGAAAAGTTGTTTAAGCCATAGGCAATCTTTCCTCGCATGCTTGAGGTGGTAACATACCCTAGCCTCGTAACCTATAGCCATTACTCCGATATTTCACAACTTTGTCCGGACTGCCACAATCGCAGTGATTATAAGCACATGCTCTGGAGGTGCCCCTTTTTACAAAAAAAAAAAAGAAGAATTTTCCGGAAACTCCTTTCATTTAATGCTCACGAGTCCGGTTTTCATTCAACAACTCAAGGCTGTCCAGAGGGCCCACGATGCGGCGGTGAGGCTGGGCCTCCCCGTCTCTACGTGGGAGCGGCCCACGATCCTACCCCTATAAAACGGCGGTGGAATCCTTCAGGACCTCAATAAAAGTTTTTCATCCATCCATGTCATTCGCTGCAGCAAACCGTTTGCCGTGTTAGGACTAACAGGCCCTCAGCAATACATTATGGCAAAAAAGAGGGGTGGGTGAAATTTTCGTGCTAGTGCCCCCTTAAGTTGATAAAGTTAGTTTTTGAGGCCTGCGCAGGGCTCCCCTCATAGGTTTAATATTTGAACTGAGCTTTCAGGGAAAAGTTCATTTTAAAATCTTCAACGAGACCCCCAAAAGCCAGAATGACGGTGGTTGCTGGCTCATGAAATTTCATGGAACATTTTTTTTTTTGGCCCCAGAGAAAATATTGCAATTCGTTTTCATGAGCAAAGCACACATAGAAAAGGGGTTAATATGTCATAAGCCACAACCAGACTCTGTGGGTAGCTACTGTATCACGTAAATAAAAAACAGAACAGTTCATCTTATTCTTCGTCATCTTTTTCAAACATTCATTTTCTTTTTGTGTCTTTTCTGGCTCAGCAAGCATGTTCAGGTGGCTGGATGGGTGCTTGTGAAAAGATAATTTATAAATATGAAGACTTAATTTTTCTCTTTGCAGGCTTTTTTAAGGGACCCTGCAACACTTTATGAGCATGGTCAGAAAACGCTGCCAATCGGTAGTAGAGGCTCCCGACAACACGCGAGCCAAATATTATAGAGCAGCACGCAGCCTGAAATTCTCAAGAAATTATGAAAGTCGGCTAAAAATAGCTGTCTCTTCTATCGACAAATCACGAAAATTAAGCCCAATAAGCCCATCTATCAGGCGTTGGCTGATTTGAACAAGGCGCGCTCGGTTGTTGCAGAGGTCGCCGCAAAAAGCAGTCACTTGTCCACGCGTGCACGCGCGATCGCACTGAAAAAGTCGCGTATTCGAAGAAAAAGAAAAGGAAAAACTGCCCAAGGTCAAGAGGCGCGAATGACGTTTTTTTTGTTTATGTTTCCCCTCCCTTCCTGCTCAGCTTCTAGCGCTTTCGTCAGGACGAGAAAAGAGAGATTGTAATTGCAGCGCGTGCCAAATCTTTGTAACTTGCTCGTACTGGACAGATTCCTAAATTTTTTTCGGCGTTAAAATTGTTTCGCCGTTAAAATTGGATAATGCACTGCACGTGTCATTATCCAAGGTGAACTTTATGCCATTGAATTTTTTGTGCTGGCATCATGCTCCCACGAAGTCATTCTTGGATGGAACTTTCTTTCGCGTCATCGAGCCATCATAGATTGCTCAGGTGCAGAAGTTGCCCTTACACCGCTGCCAACCTCTTGTTTTGTGGATTCTCTTCCTGAACCTTACAAACTTGTCGTTGTTGCAGACACGGAAATAGCACCGAGAACATCCGCCCTTGTAGCCCTGACCTGTACGGCCGCTCCTGCTGGAACTGTTTTGTTCACTCCGTCTGACGTATTTACCCGCCGCCGTAGCCTACACCTGCCCTTTGCCGTACTCACCGTGGATTCCGGTGCTACCGCCATGCTCGTCGCGAACTCGCTATCGTCGCCAGTTACCTTACTTCGCGGAGAATGTTTGGGTAACATACAAGACGTTGACCTCTTGCGCCCTCTAGAGTTCGCCGAACACGCACCTCACCTCCAGCTCAATGCTATGACGCCACCTGTGGCCACAGTGCCCGCGCCAGACTCATTCCAGCCCTCTGTTGCCGCTGAGCTATCGCCGACACAAAGAAGGGAACTCTTGTCCCTTCTTCGAGAGTTCCGTTCTGCCTTCGATTGCGCTCAACCATCTTTGGGTCGCACAGCAAACATCACGCACCACATTGACACCGGTACTCATGCTCCCTTACGCCAACGACCTTATCGAGTTTCAGCGGAAGAGCGCCGTATTATCAGCGAACAAGTCGACGATATGCTCAAGCGTGGTGTCAACCAGCCATCACAGAGCCCTTGGTCGTCCCCTGTTGTACTTGTACGCAAAAAGGATGGGTCTATCCGATTCTGTATCGACTACCACCGGCTCAATAAGATAACTCGGAAGGATGTGTACCCGTTGCCACGCATCGACGACGCTCTCGATTGCTTGCAAGGGGCAGAATATTTCTCCTTTTTAGATTTACGCTCAGGATATTGGCAAGTTCCAATGGCTGATCCTGACCGATCGAAGACTGCATTTGTAACACCTGATGGGCTGTATGAGTTTAACGTCATGCCGTTTGGACTCTGCAACGCCCCAGCTACCTTCGAACGGATGATGGACACCATCCTTCGCGGCTACAAGTGGAACACGTGCCTTTGCTACCTAGACAACATCGTCGTTTTTTCTCGCGACTTTTCAACTCACCTTGTTTGTCTTCGTGCTATTCTCACGTGTCTCACCTCTGCTGGCCTTCAACTTAACATCAAGAAGTGCCATTTTGCCGCACGTCAGCTCACTATACTGGGTCACGTCGTCTGCAAAGAGGGTGTTCTCACGGATCCGGCGCAACTCCGCGCCGTGGCCGACTATCCGAAGCCCAATTCCATCAAGACGCTTCGAAGTTTCATCGGCCTGTGCTCATACTTTCGTCGATTTGTGCGCAACTTCTCTTCCATCATCGCGTCTCTTACCAACCTGTTGACAACTTCCAAAGGCATTTCTGCTTGGTCAAAAGAGTGCGACGAATCCTTCACCGCGCTTCGGCGGTTATTACTATCACCTCCAATACTACGTCATTTTGACCCTGATGCGCCTACGGAGGTCCACACCGACGCCAGTGGTGTCGGTCTTGGTGCTGTATTGGCTCAACGAAAGCATAATATGCTTTTCCAGTGAATTAATTTCACGGTTACTCAAAAAAGAGTTTTAAGGCTCCTTTAAAGGACCAGCAACAGGCTCCGACTTCCTTTTTTACGTCCCCCCAAACAAGCTCGGCAATTCGTAGAGTAGACCGCAGTGATCCCGTTTTCTGAATATTTCAACACTGTGCACCGTGCAGAGCTTCCATTTTGAAAAACAATTCCTGTGCTCCTTTCTTATACCTGCCCAATCCTCCTTCCACGGGCAGTGACGCAGAGCCAGCGATCGGCGACTTGATGCAGCACGCAGCTCGTCCATTGGTCTTAAACCAGGTCTCAACAAACAGCATTGAAGTCAATGTCAGTTCTTGTTCCCAGTCACAGCTACGAAACTGCCCCGTGTTTCTTGGCACTGCGATTATAAAGTTCTGGCTTCGCAGTAGTTGCGTGTACTCTCCTCGCTCGACTACAGCTCGGCATAGGTGCTGACCGCACGTGCTTCGCCCTCCCCATGAGCAACACGGGAAAAAAGCGTTGCCACGTTATAAATATCGAGCCGTAAAAGTACGTAGTATATGAAAAACCAAAATCTCCGCTGTTTCCATTAACACGTATAAGATCTCTGATAATACGAGCTATACCTTTACTAGGTTTGCGTATTCGCCATGTGCAAATTCGGCAACGCTTAACATGCTTATAGCTCATGAGTAGTCATATCTTTCAACTCAAAGATCATGCACTTTTTTTCTTCACGCCGTGCAAACGCTGACATGTGCCCCCTCACAGATGATTGCGCCAAATGCATTTTTACCTTGACTAAAAGGTCAGATCGTAAAGTTCTGTTCACAGCCGGTTACTGCCACCGTCCCACAACGAATTGCAGTGTTTTTGCAAACAGGAGGCATAGCGTTATTCAGATTGCGCACACCAAGCACAATATTATCAGTTTCACCTTCCATAAAGGTGAACCAATATTTTCGATGCCTTTCAATACACACTACACGTCACAGTCAACAGTGCACATTTTCAAAGACGATACCGCTGTTCCTCGCACAGGCCACGACGTGTGTTCACTTCTTTGAGATAAACAGCCCGCCAGCAAGGCAAACATTTCATCACGCAGTTTACCACGCGTCTGGATGTTCTCTGACACATACCACAGCTAATGCTGCCACTGTTAGATGAAGATTAAGCTTTTAAAAGGAAAAAAAAAAACTTGCCTCATTCAACGAGCGACTGCGCCCCACTTAGCTAGTGGTGAGAGCATTTTGCCAACCGACGCCTTGCACGTGCACCGGTGACGTCACGTGGTGCATGTGCCCCGGGAGAGGTCTATTGACGCTCGTCATGTTGCCGAAGTGGGCGGATTTACGACGATAGGCTACGCTTTCCCCTCCATGTGAGGGAAAAAAAGTGCCGAGGCTGCGCGAAGCTTTGGAACCAGATGAGACCTATGTTCTGACCTTTGTAACTTTCTTAATATAGCACATATTCGCAAACTTCTTGCAGCAGCATGTCCTCAAAATAAAAGTGCACATATTTCTCTTAATAACAATTTTTGAACCTTGAAATTGTTTACTGGCCCTTTAACAATGTTCCCTGATATGATCATGAAGATGACAATTGGTCCATGCAAGTCGCCAAACCACTTTGCCTTCCAATAAAGAGCTTCTTTGCTTTCCTGCAATTTATTTGTCAGCTCTGCACCACAGTCACTCAGACTCGTCACTGGACTTGTGCTTCTTCTTCTTCTTCTTTTTCTTCTTCTCCTTCTTCGAAGGTGTCTAAAAAGATAAGAAACCGCAATAAGTACCTTTAAACTGGCAGAGGCGTGTACAAGTTTTTTTTTTATGTGACTGTTACTGAGTGGTAATTTCAAGCAAAACCTTGGGCATAACGATGATAAGGTATCACGCCAACTATGCAGCACAAGAGTAGACACTCAATGTGATTATGAGTTACTACTTTTTGGCCTTTAAGGACTTCATGTTCTTGAAGGCAAAAAAAAATTGCCGTATGAAGGACTATATAACGGCACTGACTTCTTTGCAGGACACCTTTAGTTCAGCTCAAAGACAGGCTATATTCCTTGGAGGCAACAGTCATACTGATGATGAATGGTCGGGAGCAATTTACTTCTATAAAATTCCACATGCAGAACATATATAAAAGAACTGCCTTTACTGCTGATGAAGTTGACGACCTCGAAAATCGCAGCACATGAAATAGCATTATTATTCATGGTTTTCACAAACCTGCAAATGAAACAGTGGCATTTCTTTGTGAGTGTGTTTCCAAGGATTTTTTTTAAACTTCAGCTTTCTATAAATTGCATGAAAAGATGTCAACAAATCGAAACACCCAAACAGACAAGACTAATCATTATTAATTGACCTAATTATAGAGAAAAACAACCAATTCTTAAGAATTGTGCCTAACCTGAAAATTCTGGTATGTACGTGACCGAAGATTACTCGGAAAAAGTGCAGAACATAAAAGGTTGTGGGAATGTACCAATGACACCTTGTCATAGGTAAACTTTCCTATGACAAAGTGTCTGTCAACAGAACTCTGTAGTATATCTGGGATGAGGCATCTGACGATGATGTTGCAGTTTCTAAAAACACCGAACAATGACCCCAGCATCCTCTCTCTCCATTGAAACTGCTCAATTGAAATTGTCAAAGCATTGTGCGCAAGGGCCTCGATTTGGAGCACTTAGCTTCAATTCACTGATGATCACGTAATCCTTTTGACCAAAACATGGCTTTATGACGGTCTTTCGATAGTGAATTCACACCTCCCAACTTTTGCGCTAACAAAAGAGAGGAATCATTGGAATGGGGGAGTGGCAGTGCTATTTTAAAAAGGCTTAAAAGTTGTACATTCGCTTCAGCCACCTGAAGCTTGAAGGCTCCACCTCCACTCAGGGGGGTCAGTGAGCCGAAATTCGCAGTGCACGAGCCAGCAACGCAGGGAACGAGAACCATCTTTAATGCACGACTTGAAATAATCACAAACAGCCGTCCTGAACTATCTCAACATGGCACTCACGCACACAAGAATATTGAAAACTCGGAACAAACAATCCCTGCAGACTAGCGATCAATGGGAGATACGCAGCGAAAGTGCAGAAGGAAAGCTAGCGCGAAACATAACAGCAGCAAACCAAACTCACACGCAATTCGCCTTAGAATACGAGCCATCGACTCGCGCAAGCCGACGCCCCCAAACCGGCACGGTTTCCCCTCTGTAGCATGCACGGAGGGAAGCCTCATCGCACCTAGCGCGACCGACACCAAATCCGATCGCCCGCCTGTCATCAAAAAGCCCCCGGGCTCGTCTCGCACCCCTTCTTATCTGTCCTCTACTTTTCCAATAACATTCCAGGAACTATTGAGTGTGATGTAGTTGATGGCATCTCCGGCCCTTGGGTGGTGCTTGTACAGTTTCCTTCTTTAAAGGCGACAAATCATGTTAAGGTCACAAGTTTTCACGACATTGCAAGAGCTGATGATGTATCTATTTTGGAACTATTGGAATCATCTTACGATTTCTTTTGCAGTGTCGGCACATGTGATACTGAGGCTTTGTGGGCGAAATTTGGAAACATAGCACAAGCTTGTATACAAACGTTTGTACCACTTAGAACTAAAAAAAACTAACCTATCCGATCCTTGGATCACATGGGAAATAATTCATCTAAAAAGGAGGGTTAAGCATTTAAAAAGAGCTAAGAAAAAGGGCGACCATAACACAAATATTCAGTAATCACATCTTAAGCATAACTAAAGAACTTAAAATTAAGATCTGAGAAAACAAACACAATTTTTATAATGTCAGGCTTAGTAAAATGATAAAAGAGTCTCCTGCCTCTTTTTCGAGATACATGAAACTGGTGATCTCTGATTGTGATACCTTCATAGTAAAAAATGTTTCTACCTCTGATGATACTGTAATATCCAGTGAAGATTATTTCAAATCTGCATTCGTCACAGATAATGGAAGATCTTCCTCTTATCAAATATTTAGTGATACGCTGCCTCTGGAAGATTTAGAAGTATCAGAATCTGGGGTACTCAATTAATTGTTAGACCTGAGTGTAAAAAGTCCTGGTCCAGATAAAATACCCATTGTGTTTTTAAAACGCAGGGTGTCTAGCAATTTGTTATTTCTGAATTCCCTGACTTTTCCAGGTTTTCCATGATGATTAAAAGCAAACTCCAAGACCGCCACGTCTGCTTGGAAAACTTTGTGCACTGGAAACAAACCTTCAAGGGGTAAAAAAAAATCAAGCGCTCCATATAAAATAAGTAAGCATATTTACCAGACGCACTCGATATGTTCTGAGTGCATGCCGTAAATGTAAACAAATATGCATATCTGGCCAAAATAAAACCCCTGAGCTAGGCAGCGAGCATGTCAGCTATTTGATGTTTGGAAGAACTAGGAAGCAAACACACAAGTAGAAAGTAACTGCAGATGGAAGTTTAAAGGAGCCTGTGATGGTCCAACATCGCAGTAAAAGCTGCTAAGAAAGGCAGAATTGGTATCATCTCACAGCATCCGTGTAAAATGAGGACACGGGAGCCTGGGTGGTTCTGCCACTGGAGTATAATACAGTTTACTATAATGACTATAGCCCACACCGCTTAAGATTTGAATTGGATAGAATTAGATCAACCTGAACTGCTGTATTCACTGCCTCAACTATTTAGGATGTGAATTATATTAGATCTGATTCGACCTGGATTGCTGCATTTACTATTGATTTGGGTGCCCGCCTAACTTGCGCACCTCTAAAATATACTTTTCAGAAAAAAAAAAGTATAACTACTACTCGCACATTCTGTGTACCTTGCCTCTATGAGTAACGACAACCTTGCAAGAACAGAGGCGTACTGCAAAATTTTCTTTTTCTTCTTCCGACGAGCACATGCATGTTTGTATTTAATGTCTCCGAACTCTGACACTTGAAGTGCAACGGAAGTCCTCGGATGGCTGCAGCCAAAGCTGGGGACAGCATTTAAAGTGCAGATGTTTGAATATATGGTGGCAAGAAGGAATCTGCCAAGGTGCAACAGCTTCCTTGATTCCACAGATGAATCACGAATGTCGGCACGTTAACTTGATTACATACTCTGCTGTGGACGTGAGGCTGAAAAATAATGGCAGATTTATTTACACAATCTCAAGAAACTGAGCTGAGAAATTTAGCTGAAGTTACCCAAGTACTGCCCTTGAAACACGGGCTACCAGCAACAACTGTGTAGCTGGGGACGCTTGTTTTTGCGTAACTAATAATAATAATAATAATAATAATAATAATAAAAGGCATGAGTAGGCCGGCAAGCTTATGCTGATGGCAGTTCTAGCTTAGACAAACCAGACGACCTTCAAGCTTAGTTGAAATCGTGGCCCAGACAAACATGCATAAATTTACAGACATGAGTAATGTTGCGGTTCGAAAGTCAGATATAACGTGTGATATGTAGAAGTGAAAGACATCAAAATAGTGCATATACCAACCGGGACTTTAAGGAATGCTCAAGCCAATGTGAAGGACAAGTTGCCGAGCAGAAACTTCCTTGGTCTTGTTTATGCCATAAGCTGCCACAATTGTGACAACCAGTACATCGGTGAAAACTGGTGACTTCAAGAAAAAAGTTAGACAAACATGACGCCTCGAAACGACCTGTCGCCTCGACTACTCTCGCTGAACACTTGCAATCTACAGACCACCAAATAGACTTTTAAAGCACTTGTGTTCTTGATAAAGAAAAAATCCACATCATCCCACAGGGGGGACTCGAGTAAATGTGTCAGGGAGTAGTGGGGGTATCGTGTGAATGTTGCATAATTAGGTAAGGTGCGGGAATGCTCAATTGTTATTTCGTCATTATTATTCGTATTTATTGAATGAAGGATAAGCCTTGCCTGCAACGAGTGGCGGGACACTTATGTTGGGTTGTGCCTACTGGTTGAAGGTACTCGTTGCTTCCATGACACCTACTAGAGTCAACCAAAGCATCAAGCCAAGTGAAAATGCCCTTGACTCAATTCCGAATGCTCGATCCAGTGCCTACATATACGAGGTGGTCAGTGAACGGTTGTGCAGCGCCAGCAATCGGTTTTTACTAGCAGACACTACCTGTGTCGGCCTTGCGAGGCAAGAAAGGGGGGCAGCGACAGCTGTCACAAGGGGCGAGCATGGGCAGTAGGAGTGTAGAAATCACCGCTGACGCAGGATTGACGAGTAGGTGCGACTATATTATGCTCCGCATTTAGAAGAACCTTGCATCATGCCTACACCTGGAATACAGATACGGAATCAGGTACAGGTTCAGTATATAAACTGAACAGGAGTGATGGGACGCTTCTGACAGTGTACTCTTGCTACTTACATCACGTATTTAAGGGTACTTAAGTATGTTGTGCCTTTCTTTCTTATAATTTTTATTTTGAACAAAGCTTCTTCCCATGCCAGGCGCTGAAATGTCAGTAAGGTTTGTGTTCTATGGGTCGGTGTATCCTTTTACATTTACACTAAGAAGCAACAGTTATGCAGTGTTTTTTTTTTTTCACATGCTTTCTAGCAGATCACTGTAGTTGCAGTTGAAAGAGCGACTTTTTAAGCTTTGATCAATCATCATCATCATCATCAGCCTCACTACGTCCACTGCAGGACAAAGGCCTCTCCCATGTTCCGCCAGTTAACCCGGTCCTGTGCTTGCTGCTTCCAATTTATACCCGCAAACTTCTTAATCTCATCTGCCCACCTAAC